GAATGTTTTAATTAAAATGAGCTTCAAATGTGCTGTTGCTCATCCATTTTACGAATATTTCATTTTTGTTTCTGCATAACCTTTTAGGGCACTTTCATCACCTTTGAATTTAGGTTTTGTGCTCTGATAGTCAGTCAGGCTGGAAATGTTGTTATAGTTCTGGTAGCAACAGAGTCTGCTTTTCTTCAGTGCTTGAAGCTTCCTGTTCCCAGCAGCCCAGATTTGTATATGTGCTCGGGGAACTGACAGCAAGCTGCAAGCAGAATTGTCACTGCATGGCAACAACTTTTAATCAAGAGCTTGTTTCCTCTCGTCATAATGAGAGTAAATCTCTTTGAGGGCCTTTTTTCCCTCCATTAAACTTTGGTTTTGCTTGTTGCTTTTCAAGTGAGCTGTCACATTTTCTAATTATAAAACATTCTGCATTTGCAGCTAAGATTGGGCTATGCAATTTACTTAATTCAATAGATTGCTTGTCACTGCTGATCAGAAAGTTTTTATTATCTTTCAGGCTTTTTTACATCTACTTTTCCTAGATTTTTGACATACCAGAGTGGGGCGGGGGTAAGCAATCTCTTCTTTGCATATGCTGCTGCATTTACCAAAGTGTGGTCTAACACTGGAAGAGTATGGAAGAAATACTTTGGTTATGAACTTGTAGTTTCCCTTGAGGCACAAAATTGTGTTCGTGTTTTGTAGATTTGAGCTATACTTCTCTTCCAAACCCAACCATTGTATGATTCAACGAAAACCTTAGAAGAAGCTAAGTATATTTTAAAAGAATTTACTTGAAGCTTACCTACTGTTATTACATTTTATAGGTATCAGTTTAATAATGACTTGTTCAGGGATGTATTTGCTTCACAGTCATATAACCTCTTCATTAATTAGTTTAAGTTTTCCTCAGACTAGCTAAGGCTGTCTCAAAAGCCTTGTTTTCACAAGAGAATAATTGGATGCTCTTTTGTTCTTTAAGTCTTTGATAGGATTCACTGAAGCCAATTTTTCAATATTCCCTCTTAGCCTGAATGCACTCGAAATATGCCAAATGATGGGTTTCTAATTAAAAACCCAATTCTTAAAGGTAAGACTTGTCTGATCGCTGGAAACAAGTGGTGTTATATTAACAGCCTCTCTGGCAAATCTGAGAAATTGAATGACAAATACAAAAGAATGCCATGGTGTGCAATGAGAACCTGCATCACACTTGAGAGCATTCCAGCAACAAAAGGCAATTGTTATTAGACCAAATACTCAATTGTCACAACAGCAAGTGCTGTAAACTGAGAATATTCTGTAAAGCCTAGCCCTTTAGAAGCTATGATGTTGCACCCAAAAATGAGTGGCCAAAAAGATATTTCCTGTGTCTTAATACACATGAAAATATCTGGGACTTATCAGCTTACTGCACTTTGTTTTTCAATTGAGTCGTGAGTGGTATAATTGCTGTTCCAAGAAAGGTTAAAGAGAGCACGACCATGTGAAACTTTGGTTCTTCTACAAGGCATTCTCTTCAAGAAGTACTGATGGCCTTTTTGGTCAGTCATTCTAAGTAGCTAGCTTATTCCCTTTAATAGAGTATTTGCCAGCTATTGATCTGAGAAGAAAAGGAAAAATAGTTACTAGTGATTTGAAATGATTTTTTTTTTTTTTTTTACTAAAAACATAACCAAACATTGGTATTTCCTTCTTACCTTATGGTGCTGAAGGGACTTAGTGACTACAAGTGTTCTGATTCCTGAAGCATTCATGAATAGTCAGCAGGAAATAATCACATTGTTTTCAATTGTTACATGAATTCAATTGGAAAACAACTCAGAAAAAGCTTGAGCTTTGCATTGTATATTTTATAAGTGAATGTTCAATGTCCCCTGTGCTCTCTTCAAGAAAAGCCAGAGCTTAGCTTGCAGTAGTACTGCTTTGCACTGTTTCAGTGATAGGTACAGAGCGTTTCTCAAAGCACTTCCCTGTGTTTTGGAGCACTCCTCATTGAGGTGATGAGTGTGTAGGAAGGTGGAACCACACTGCTTGCTGGCCTTGTTCCTGCCAGCTAGCAAGAAAAGTTACTTTGGAAGTTGTGTATGTCTGAAGAATTCAGGTGATTCTTCATTGGCTTAGTTTACACTGCAGATTTTCCTGCCTCCTTCCAAGAACAAATAAATGCCAAGGTATCTGTGTACACCTGCTTCAGTTACACTGAACACTACTCATCTCCAGCAATGTCTTTGCCTTCGGTACATGCTGTGTACTGCTGTAACCTCCAGCTCCTCTTGTTCAGTGACTACCAAGATGTTCTGCTAAAAAAAACATTTTTAGCAGCTCAGCTGTGTAAGGTTGCTTAGAAACAAGCCTTCTTCTCCCCCACATTCTCATGACAGATTTCCTATTCAATAACATCACTGCATGACACATTTGTATCCAGACAAGCATTCCTTTTCCACTTGAAATGCTCATTGTAAAGGTTGTTGATGCTTCACGCAATTCGTAAACAGCATGTGGTAAATAGCTGGCGTATTAAATCACTGCCACAATCAAAATGAGCTTAAGTTTTGAGTGTAAGCAGTTCTTCGCTCCTGAACTGAGTTATTGATCTTTTCTTCCTTAGAATAATTTCTAATTTTGTTTCTTACACTGGGTAACCGGGATGACTCTATGGTAATTTCTCCCTTCTCTGCTCCTATATAGAATATTTCTTTGTATCATATCAAAATTTAGCTCCTAATGGCATGGTTGTAATTGCTTTCTTCTTTATATTTTCTTCATATTTGTATAAAACAGCTCATATTAATTGGATATTAAAATATTAACAATACAAATATTTACATATGTTAAGTCATTAGTAAGTATCAATTATTTCTATTTTGAGCTGAAGGCAACCATTATCAACCACTTCATATTTGTACATCTCTTTATGACTGAAAGGTTTGTAGCACTGTGTTTACTTAATTTCTCCTTCTCTGCTTAATAACAGTATTACACTATTTTCAGAATGGTGATGTGCAGGTCTGATAAAAAAATCTAACAGCCATGTCTGGCAGAAAGAATAATTGCTATAGATGAAGATAACAAGGTCCCATCATTGTCGTCCTCTTTGGTCTCATGTAAGAACAACATACAGGTTTTTCAATGCTTTTAAGGACTGTGCAATGTATCATCAGGGAAACAGATAGCTGGTAATTATAAATTAGCACAGTTTTCATATCTGTATCCATTAATGTCATCTTGTAACTATAAAATTCCTTGTTCATGTTGTTGTAACACATTTCAAACATTATGAATTCATAATCTATATAATAGCCTTTGCCATTGAAAATGCCAGATTTAAGGTCAGTGCAATCCAAACCTTCCTGGGAGAGAGAAATTACATGAAGGATTTATGAAAGAACAGGATTTAAATCGGGATTAGGAGACAAAGGCATGCTACCTAATTGACAAAAAGCCAAACTGAAATAACTGAGCCAAAACATGCAGTAGAAGGATCATTAATTAATAAGAATCAATAGAGTTAGAATATGCAATATGTTGCAGATGAGGATAAAGGACTGCATTGAATACAGTGAAAGAAAACTGATGAACGGGTGGATGATAGCAGATGAAAAATCAGTTTTCTTGGTCCTAATTTTGCCACTTGCTTTAAAATTTCACAAGAAAAGATACCTTTTGCAAATAATGGGGGAAGTGTAAGAGAACACTTTGACAAATGGTAACAGAAACACAAAATAAAATTCCTCGTCAAGTTGTTCACAAATCTTGGTGGCATTTGTTAAGAAACTGCAAAAGTAGTCAAGAAAAATTGAAAGCCAGAACCCAAAACCTACAAAACCACCCTCCTTAGCAGTGTGATAGGCAGATGGCTTTAAAAAGAAATTCTTCTTAATTAAGCCAGTCTTTATATTATAGTTAGTGTATAATATTGTTTCTGTGCTGTTAAAGCAACACTTATGCTTAACATAGTACCCAAGCCATACTTAACTCTCATGCAGTTTTATTTTAATTCTCGTACGGATCTGTATTTTTGATTGGCTGCAGAATCACCAAATGGTTGAGATTGCAAGGGTTGGAAGGCTCCAGTGCTCAGCCACCCTCACTGTGAAAAACTGTTTCCTGATGTTCAGACTGAACCTTCTGTGTTCCAGTTTGTGCACATCACCTATTGTCCTGGCACTGGACACCAGTGATGAGAGCCTGACTCTGTTGTATTTGTATCCCCTCTTTTAGACTTTTGTGCACACTGATGAAATTTCCTCTGAGCCTTCTACAGGATGAGCATTGCCTGCTCTCTCAACCTTTCCCCCTAGGAGAGATGCTCCAGTCCATTAACCATCTTAGTGGCCCTTTGCTGGACTCTCCACAAAATTCCCGCAAAACATGCAAGCTCTCTATTTTTTTTACATATACCTTGGGATATGATACCCTTTTCTGCCTTCTTTCTTTCTTGCTATATATGAGAAACTTATACACACACACACACATATACATATATATCTACATACATGCATATTAAAAAGAAAACTTAGTTTTTGGCTGTGGAAGGCATGGAATCGGTAGAAAAGCTGGTTTCAACACACTGTAAGCTTTGGGTTGAGGTTTTTTCCAATTTTATGTAGACTGTTTCAAAGGAAGAGTGCTTGGTTTCAGTTGTTTTGTATTTTGTAATTTCATGCCTCTTTTTTGCAAATTGTTTTATCCCCAGTTCTTAAATACAGAATAGACTTGCAGTGCATTCCAAAAATCACTTGGCAACACTTGAAAATTCATGAAGGAATGTCAGCAGTGTATAGCAATGGGAGGTATAGGATCTTAATAAATATTCATTCTTTTCTCATAATCAGAAAGCAACCTTTGTGGATCACAAATTTACTTATTGCCCTTAAAAGCACTTATGCTAAGCTATGCTTACAGTTCAGATGTCAGCCACTCTGCTCAGACAAATTGTATAGCACAGAATATACATAATCTAGAAAATTGTCTAGAAAGAGATCATTTATATATAAAATTACCTGGTCTTCAAAGTCAAATTCTGTATAAGCAGTATCTCCAGAATCCATAATCAGACTGCAATCAAGTTCATTCGTCCCTAAAATAGGAAAGAAAATTAGACTTCAGAAATGTCGAAAATCTTCAATTCCTGTGATAGGACTCTGCAGTATTTCCAATTGTCTCTATGTATGCAAGAACTTTGATCCAAAGAGTCATTCAAATGTGCTAAAATACCTGAATGAAATGTATTCCATTAACAAGCCTACAAAAAAGCTTCCACAAATCTTCAGTAATGGTTACTGTAAATTGTAAATTTTTTGGACAAGGTGTTTTGTGTGCTGTGACTTGCAACTGTAAATCCACAAGAATCTTAGCTTACAGTCATAGTTTGGAAAGAGAATGGAAATACTAATTAGTGGTTAGCAGAGGTGGATCATGGAGAGATGCTGATGGGAGCCAAAGCAGCATCCTTCCAGCAGCAACAGTCCTTGTTCTTCTCCCATCCCTTTTCTAGATGACAGTGTGACTCTGTCCCTTATTCCTGTGTCAGGTGAAGTAAGTTGTGAGCCTCTTCCGCTGGGGATGACAAAGTTCAGTTGCTGAGAAGTCTTGGGCTGGCTGAGCTTTATAAAATTAGTTTAAGCTCAAGGTGCAGGATAACAGAAAATCAGGCTAGGGATTTTGAGGAGTCGCGTGGGTGGGTGGTGGCTGCTTAGCAAGGATGGGAGGATTAACCACCATTCTTCTGCCTAAGTATAGCAAAGATATAGCATGGACATCACTATCATTTTATGGCAACACCAACTCATTTAGGTTATCTCACTCTTGGGCAGAGAGAAAGAAAACAGTCTCCTTGACAGAGATGATGATTCCAGAGTGTCCTGATTTGCATTCCATTTTAGAACTGCTGCCAAATTCATCTTTGATGCAACTATTCAGTCTAAGTACGAGACACAAAGGAAAGTCTTGGACCTACCATCTGCTGGTGCTTTGTTATTTCTTTTTTCCCCCCCTCATGTTCATATATACTTCAACAGATTGTTACAGAAAACCAAAACAAAATAGAAAGGGGTAATATTTAATCATTGGTTGCTGGGTGTATGTAGGCAGTGTGTTCTCTGCCATATAAACTTTTTTGGTTTTTTGAAAATACTTGTCTGTGAAAGATATATGCAAGCAAATAGAACTACAGCTACCAAGAGAAGCTTAATTTTTTTTATTTATTTTACACAGCTGGCACCTTGCTCTTAATATTGTCATTGTTGATAATATGATTTAAGTAAGACAGAGCTGGTGCTAGTACTGGCTTACCTGGACTCATCAATCACTCTTAAATGCACTTATGTGCAAGTATTTGATTAACTGTCATGTAGCTACCACAAGCAGAATGTGTCCCCAGCTAGGAAAGTTAATATGAAATATGATGCTGGAGACTTAAATGATCAGGCTGAAAATGAGTACTCATACATAATGTATCTTAAGTGACAAAAGCCATAATGGTTATACAATTTTAATGTTGTCAAGCATCTTAAGGGGCTTTTTCTTGAACTAGGACACCAATTTCCTTGGGGAAGCATAACTCTTCCAGAGAATATTCAAGGAAGGTCAGGAAACTTGAAAATATGTCTCTTCTTTCCTGGTTTAATGAAATCTAATGAAAACCATAACCATTTGTCACTGACCAGATTATAGATGTCCCATTCTACTCAACCTGCCAAAATGCAAACCTAGCAGAAATGCATTGAAGCAAATGGCTATTCCCAGGGCAAGATAAAGCAGAGGGGGGACGTGCCTGTGATACTCCCGGATGTGTAAGCATGAATTACTTGCTGCCTTCCAGCTCAGTTTTTTGTTGGATGGACTATGTTTTGTTAACAAGCTTTATTTTAGAACAAGGCTTCTATGGGAGGAAAGCAGGCTGGCTAACAAACCAGTGCTACAAGTGGCAGCATAAATGTACCAGATAGCCTCTTAGCAACAAATTGGAAGACTCCAATCTAAAGACAAAGCTACTATCAAGACTAAGGCTGAGAGGAGGATGTTAGGAAAAGTAGATAACTCAAAACTCAGCTCAGCAAAATCTTATGTAGTGGTTAACAAAGGAGAAACAGAAAATGTTGGCTAAGAAAAGGAGAAAGTTTTGTTTAAAGCCTGTGTAAATGAACACACCCTGTTGTTTTAAATGACTGCATGCTGCAGATCTTGCAGTCCTACAACAAAACAGATGATCAGAAGTAAGTTTCATTGTGCTTTCTGTGTAAGTTGTTTTTCCTTTGATAGTTTCATAGACTGAAAACTAGGCTATGAAAAAAAACCAACTCAACACTTGTTTAGCACTAAGAGGAAATTATTGTAGTCCAAGGTGTCCTAATTCCTTTTGGATGGATGTTGCATTGCATATAATTACTTCAGCTGCGATTAGAATAATAAAATCACAAGGTTGGAAACGACCTATAAGATCATCTAGTCCAACCATCTCCTCATCACCATTGCCACCACAAGCACTAAACCACATCACTCAGCACATCGTCCAGACGCCTCTTGAGCACTGCCAGGGACGGCGACTCCACCACCTCCCTGGGCAGCCATTCCAGTGCCTGGCCACTCTCTGAGAGAAAAAGTTCTTCCTTATGTCCAACCTAAACCTCCTCTGATACAACTTGAGGCCATTACCCCTTGTCCTCGTTGCCTGGGAGAAGAGGCCAAATCCCTCTTTACCACAACCTCCCTTCAGGAGGTTGTACAGTGCAATGAGGTCTCCCCTGAGCCTCCTCTTCTCCAGACTGAACGATCCCAGCTCCCTCAACCGCTCCTCATAAGACTTGTGCAAGACTTGATTAATTTAGAGCTTTTGTGTGCCTGTATGAGCTGATCACAAATGATGAGCAACTATCGGTTTTTTGAAAGAGGAAACTCAACAGTTAAAAATGAATAAAATGCATGAAAGCTCCACTGCCAGAGAGCAATAACTTGCAAGCATCTGATCTGGAAAGACAGGTTTGTGACTTGAAATATGCTTCCTCAATTTCAGTGCATGAATAAAGTGCATGTAAGGCCAACCTGGTAATTATGTGCTCTGTGTTTTCCTTAGGGGAAAAAACAGAGGATTACAGCACAATTAAAAAATAAATCAGTTGGAAGTTTTTATTAAATCCCTGTTAACTGAATAATCAACTCTCCAGGGAGAAGGGGGCCACTGAAAAAGAAACAACATGTTAGCTAAAATGCGCTCCCTTTTTTGCTAGGTTTTGCATTTGACACTGAAGGTATCATTCATAAAGATTTCTCTTGCTAGAGACCCGAGAGGATATAGAAACACAGCAGTGGAAGAACAGTTGAATTAGTGAGTGTCTGCAGTTGTACAAGGGTGTGCTGACAGGCACAGCCCAGCCAGGTCTGAAAGGCAGGGAGGATACATCCCCTGCCCCCAGGAGGGGTGCAGGATGCTGCTCAGTTGCTTCATTCACCGTAAGATTGTACTTCTGAATTTGTTGCTGTGCTTCCTTATTGCTTATTACACCCAAATCGAATTGTACAGGATTGATAATGTTAAGCTAAGAGGATATGGTTGTTATGGGCTGCTGTGAAGCTCCTACCAAAAGAAAATGTACCCCAGAATCCAGAGCCGTAGTGGTCATAAGTAGCTCTGAAGCTAAGTGTGTCACTTTCTCTGAAAGCATACTCACCCTTAAGTTTTCTCAAATGCAAGCATCAGGCATTGTTTTTTCACAGTTCACTAAATTAATTTTTACAAAGCTCAATTGTACCGAACAGTCTATATTTAACAGCAGTTGATTTAACTTCTCATTACAAGCTAGCTATGTGCCATCATGTGAAGTAATTATGCCCCTTGGACCGTTTGTGTTTTGGCAAATCAGTTAGTGTATTTCCAATCCTTGCTTGATTCTGTTACTTATGTGAGGTCCTAGTAGCAATAGTATTCAATATGGTTCACTGGCTGTAATATTCCCATACTCGTGTATTAATAACTACAGTATTTGCACTGTCGTAAGTTAAGATTATCCTGTGAAGTGTCTTATGTTATGGAACATGCTCTGAAGCACTAATAACTTAGTTAATATATGTGATATGTAAGCACTTGATCAAAGACATGATTGGAAGATACATTCTTGGTGTGATAGAATAGGAACGATTATACTGAAGGACTGACTAGCATTAGAATGATTACAATGTAATTTGGCTCAGTAAGATGCTTCTAATACCAATTTTAATGCAACCTTACAGTGTTGAATTTCATGTCAGGTTGTTGCTATTAGCAACAGTCTTAATATGTCATAGGAGGCAACAATGAGAAAAAATGTATTCTAATCCATAAAAACAGTTGTTTTCTTTCAGTGTATTTTCTTACATGATTACAACTAGTTCTTACCAGAATATGAATTACATTGATGCAGATATATTAAAATACTATGTCTCCATTAGCTATAGGGAATCAAAAGGATTAAAACACAAAAAGTAATTAAGAGAATTCTGAAATTGTCCTTTAGAAATTAAATACCTGGTCTCATACTAGAAATCCTGCTTTGAATCTTTCAACCATTATTGGTGCTTAGCTTGAGAACCAACTAAATGATCGTGGCATGGTTTCTGTCTCCTGTTTGGTGAGGACTTAAGCAGATCAGACTTTCAAGGAACTGACATCACAGTTTGGTTGAAATAGTTTAGCTTTTGCCATTCTGTTTTTCAGTGATAACACCCTTATGTCATGTCTTTCCTCGTATTGTTGTTGAATGTTTAGCATATTTTATTAGGAAATCCCCAGTTAATTAACAATTCTACACAGTGGGAATGTCATTTTCGCTTTGCAGTCAACCTTTTCTCCCTAGGAAAAAGGCTTGTACAAAAGAGGTATGTGTACTGCTTAACAGAGAGAACTAGTGGCCTTTAGTTTCCTGTACATCTTACCTTGAAGATCACCACTACAAACCTGTAGGTTAGGTAATGCGCTCTTCTCAATCTTTTTCACCCTTCACTGATGATCACTCTTTATCTCTTTTTGAACGTTATCAAAACCACCCTTCTGGGTGGGCTTCATAGGTTGACTAGCTTGGAACTCATTTTCACATCATCAAAATATGAGATAATCTTTCTGTCTGAAGCAACTACTCTTCACACATGTCCTGTTAGTAGATAAGAAGTAATCTCCCCTTTGTCAAAAAGAGCACTTTGGTAGATTTCTGATGATTGTTCATGAATACAAATGACTGAAGCCATCTTGTCTGTCAATTTAGGGTAGATGAGTTTTCCCTTAAACAGAGGAGAGATCAGACAGATGGATGTAGTAGAGAAAATCATATAATATTTATTTTAGTAATAAAGCAAATATATTTTACAGAAAAGCATTTTGCCTAGAATTTCTTTTTTGCGTGTCCTCTTTTGCAAGACAACGTTTTGAACTTCTACCTGTATAACCCTCAAAATCTACTTGGAGGGAGACCAGACATTCTGTCTGTAGAAAAAAGTTGTGAAGTTACCAAGGAACACTTTCCTGTAAGCCTCAAACAAAATATTTCTGACAGACGTCACAGATTTTTAATGCTCTGATTTTCAGCTGCTGTTTCTTCTTGTCTTTTTTTTCCAGTTCTTTGTACCCCACAGGCTTTTTCTCTGAAGATGTTCAAGCCTCAGTAAGCACAAATAATAAAAGTAATAGTAGCAATAAACCTTTAAAAAAAAAAAAAACAAAAAAAAAAAAACAAAAAAAAACCCTCTGCTGTCTTGTGCTTGCACACAGTTTCCAAATTAGTACCAATTTTTAGGGAGGATGTACAATCGTTAATCTCTAAGGCTTTCAGGTGACACTGAGATATCTGTAATTCAAACAGATGTATCTGGCAATTAGAATCAATCAACATATACAATTTTTTTATTAATGATATAGTTGTGTAAGATACTATAGATAATCCACTGAAGTGAGCTTGTAGAAAAGCAGGGTGATAGCTGGGTTCTATGAAGTTACCAAGTCTAAGAGATTTACCCTTGGTTGTGGAGATATTTGAATTGGGCAAAGATTTTGCTACAGTACATATAGTCGTACTTGAGGAATATGAAAAGTGTCCCACCACAGTCAGATGCAACAGAAAAAATGTGGTTCTTTAATCTTGCATTAACTCACCTGCTGCAGCCTCTTTGTTAGCAAATAGCTTATTGTCAACTGCTGAACTTATATCAGAGAACACTTCTTCTTCATCTCTGTCTGCATCAAACTGTTAAGAAAAAGAGAAGGTGGCAATCAGACACTACTCACTATTTGGCTGATCATCAGTGTGTAATCTCAAGCCTTCTTAATTCATTAGGAATCTAATTTTCTCGGTTCTGTCCATTGCAAATTTAAAGTACAATTCATCTTAGTTTTGACTAAACCATTCTGTCAATTTCCAGTTCCTTGTCAGGAACAAACTATAATAAAATTAACTAGGTCTCAGAAAATGAAATTTCAAAGCAAAAAAGCAATACTTATAATATCTATTACATGTTTTAGGTGATTGAAAAAAAAAATGACAGTGTAGTGACCATTTATTTTCACCTCTTTTCAGAGGCAGTGCAATTAACTATGTATGATTTATAAGAAAAACATTTTCAGGAACCTCTGACTTATCAGACAGCAATTTGTGTAATCTGTGCGTTTTCAAGTAGTTATGCAAAATTCTCATGCAAAGGTGAAGTATTTTTGAAAGCACATCTGTGATATAGAAAATAAAGCTTTCCTTGCTTTAGCACTAGCACAGAGTGTACTGGCTTAGTTATAAAGTAGGGAGAAAATGACAATTAATTAATTTATTTAAACGTTGAATTCTTTTCATTTATCCTGTCTCTTGGTAGTCTGACACTGCATCTCCCAAATATTCTTTCAGCTCTCTCCAGCTGGTGTTCTCATGGCCAGGTGACACCTGTTCATCACTTTGGGCTTTTTTCTGGTTCGTTAGTTTTCTTTTCCTTAAAATATTTAACAAAATTCGTTCATTTAGGTCATTGTTTGCTGAGCTTTATTGGAAGAAAAACTGAGTACTTTTTATCACTCTTGCTTTTAAATTTTTCTTATTTCTTGAAACGGAGGCCAGTTACATGACTATGAAAAAAGGGAAACAGGAACCTCTTGTTACTGAGGAGTTACAAATAATGCCACATGAGATGCCTCTCATTCAGTGAATGCCCACTGAGTAAAAATTGCTATTTTCAGTCACTTTGTATCTTTAGTGTAATATATCTTAAGATGAAGAAACCAACCACGGGGCAAAAAGCATCATGTTACTGGTTGCAGATTGGTGAACTTTGGTGCATTCATTCTTCCAAGTCTGAAATGGTTGAGCACCTTTTCAGATATCTCACCAGTACCTGTTTTAAAAAAACACGGTTTAAAAAAAAGAAAAAAAAAATCACAGACAAGGAAAGGTTCTGGAGAGAGAAATTCAAACCCCATCAGAATCTTGGCTGCTGACATTCATAGAAACTAAGTATTTTTCCCAATATCTATTACAAAGTATGGCACAACAGTTAATAAGTAGATTACAGAGATACTGAATTGTGTATCTAACACCCAGCATTGCCAAACCAGCATCAGTCTTTTCATTATATTTTATGACGACCTATGTGGTATCTATACTACTTAATTAAGCTGGTCTGTCACTGGCTAGTGAAATTTGCTTTCTTAGAGAGTTTTCTACTAGCATCTCAGGATAAATCTAGAAACAGATCAGCCCAAAATTCAGATTATTATTATTATTGGATTTATTATTTACAGTTATTATTTTAGTGGTAGGTGTCACAAATAGTCCAAAAAATATGGAAAGAACATTAAAGAGACAAAGACTGATTCTACCGACTTAGAGCTATGTGAATGAAAGAAAATAGAAACCTGTGGGAAGCCAGAGTATATTAGAGAGAAGCAACTGTTACAAAACATCTGCTGCCAACAGGTTAAGCTCTCAAAACCTGAGTACTTAAACGGGTACAAGCTCTGTTTTGAATCTGTAACATCTTAATAGATTTATGCTTAGCTCAGCCCAACAAGTTGTTTCGATCATGGATGAAGCTGCTTTTATTGTCAATGCATGGAATTTTCAGATTGCTTTTTAAAATTGATTTTGTGGCTCTGACTCTGAGGAGCACTCAGAAAGTTCCTCCTGTGATGAAGCATGGTTGTCCGCCTGTCTGGACAGACATACATCTAATTTTGAGGAGGAGTTTTGCCATCCTATTGAGTGTTGACTGAAGCACAAATTGTTATTGCTTATTTCAACTTGCTTGCATTTTCCTATTGGATTTCATCTTCATTTGTGCCAAAACTGAGGCTTGTGGAAGAAGAGGTCTTAAGTGAAATGTTAAGCTGCTGTTGGGCGATTTATTGTCAATGCAGAAAGAGCATCTTAGGAATTTCCTCCTTCATAAGGAAGGTATTATCTCTGTGAATTCTTTTGTATTGGCTTCTTCTTAGGAAGCGTGGGGGTGGGCATTTCTGTCTCGGTTAAAAAAAAGCAAAATACCATGCATTTCATCAAATATGCTAAGGAAGACAAGTCATCTAACATCTGTTGGTATCTATAGACACAAAACCCAGTACGTTGTAATCAGGTTGTTTGATCCTTACTGTGTAGGTCACATCACACTTGGAGAGATGACTGGCTTACTTTCTCATTAGTAGCATTCCTTTGAGTAATTCAGTTTACCATGAAAAAAGTACAATCAATCTCAGTATGTTCTGAAGGTTCCTAGAACTTGAAACGTCAGCTTCCCCATTCAAAGAACACCAGCTGTGCTCCAGCATTTTTAAAATCTGAGCTTTGTAATGAAATCCTATATTGTGACCTAAAGAAAACCAATTATTTGAAGCTTGCACATAGGCTCATTTTTCTGCTTGCAAAATAAGAATTGTAATACCCTGAGCCACAGGAAGGCAAGGTGGCTTTCACAGAAAAAATGTTTTTGAAAGAAAATAAGTATCCGTGTGAGTTCTGTACTTCATTGAATTGCTAAACATCTTAAAATGAAATCCTTTGGTAATTATTGGAGCCCTGAATAAAACGTAAAGGGTACTCAAACAACACTATTCACAAAGAACAAACAGCAGCAAAACTCTTGATTTTTACTGGAACATGTCTGAATCAATAGGTTGATTTCCTTACTGAAAACAAAACCCTACCTGCTTCAAAACACAGCTCTCTGCAGAAGAAAAAAAAAAAATGAATTATCTACTGGGATCTTTATGGATGGCCCTTCTTTCTTCTCTGTGAAGTCAGTGGAGTTTGAAGTCTCACCCTACAGTTTTCCCCTTGATAAGGCACTAATGAGGTTTCTGTACCTATCTGTTTTGCTGGGGCAGGCAAAGAGGGAGGAGCTGAGAGGACAGGAGAATCGCACCTGTTTTAGAGACCTGGCCAAAACTCTGAGCCAACAGGATTTTTCTGAAAAATATCCAAAACATGTTCGGTGTCTGCACTTGATAAGAACTTAGAGAAGTGTTTTCTCCATACTAACACATACAAGTAGGAGCTGCAGGGCAGCAATCTCCACATCACTTGTACAGAGTAGTCTTGCTTCCAAGATCTATCTCCTTGTCATTAAGGACAGTATGAGAGGCTTTCTCTCTACCTGTCTCCATCATCTCAGTATTGTTGCATCTCCTCTTCTTCCTGTTCCTTTCAAAACGAAGCTAGCAATCCTAACACACAAATACCATTATTTGGTAGGATGTGAGTTTACATTTACACCTACATTTTAAATAACTGGTCTAGGGAGAGAAGTTTGTATATGCTGCTCTCAGAGCCTAAATGATTAGTGTTTCTAAATCCAGGTCATCAGAAGGAGCCTCCCAGGAAAACTGTCTGAGCTGTTGAACATTGTGAGTTGCACTAGTCAAGGATAAATAGTTGAGCTAAAGAAAAAAGTTCACAACCATTTCTTCACGGGTTACCAGGGGTTAAGCCTTGGGAGTACTGGTATGTGAAGGTGAAGCCATTCCATTCAATATGTCACTGGCCCCTGTGGACTGGTTTGCCGTAAGTGACACTACTGGTCTTCACAGGTGATTTATGGAAAACAACAGCCCCCCAAAAAAGAGGAAGATCATAACAGCCTTTCATATTGCAGTAGAGGAAAACTACTTGCAGGCAATTCTGGTTTGTGCACTTTCAAATAATGTTAGAAATTGGGAAAACATAAATCAAGGTAGTTAAATAACATTTGTGACAGTAGATGAAAATCTGTTCTATTTTAGAACATGACAGATGTCGGTGAGAAGAAAATAAGCCATGTTCCAATTAAAATAATAACATCAGGCTAATTGCTCTGTGGCAATATTCCCATCCACCTCAAAAAGAATTTCAGGAGTTGGATGATGAATGCTTTATTTGATTGTCTCACAGGCAGGCAACCACTCCAACAAAAATGCAATTCATACATGCCTGAGTTTTTTCTCAGTCCTTGAAAGATGTATTATGTTACTTGAAGAAATACTTGAAAATATTAAACATTTCAAGGTACTAGTGATCTGATTATTAAACCTAGGTGCTGCAAGTAAGATAGTATTCACATGTACTCTCTTAACCTCTTGATCTTGCCTCAGTAGGGAGCTATTCATCACGTCTTCAAGAGCAGAAGTGAGCACAGAGTGGCAAGCCTCTGATCAATGTGGTCAGTGTTGGTCAGGAGAGGGGAAAAAAAAAACAACAACAACAAATAACCAGGTACTTTGAGTTGTTCTTTTAAGACATATCCTCACGTACAGACATAATGTTAGTTAAAAAGTGGATTTTTTTCTTGGTTAAAGCAAACTCTGAAGGGAGATTTTTAGTGAACAGTTAAGAAAACAGGTCTCAAGTTGTGCTAATTAGTCATAGAGTATAATTACATAAGCATATGCACAGGCATATAAGTTCAGAGATGACATCACGTCTTGGTGTTTGGTTTAGAAATGGGTGCTTTTGGATTCCGTGTGCTGGGCTGGTATCCCCAGCTGCTGAACTGGAGGGCCTTCCAGATGGGCAATAAGAATGATGACTTGACTGTTGTATGATTTGGCTGTGCATAAACACTGCAATTACTACAAAAGGCAGGCTTTAGTTTTATTGTTCTTAAAGTGAATTTCCAATATTCCAAGCTAAACTTGAGAGTCTAGTGCCATGGCACACAAAAAGTGTGGGATGTTCTGGCAGTTTAATTGCTTTCACAGTAAAATTATGTGAAGCCAGGATCCACGTGTATAATATGG